GCGCATGTTCAAAACCACATTACATAGTTTTTAGCAGGAATCAAAATTGACCGAATTTTGAGCATTTCAAGATGAGCATGGATTAGCCATGTTGCACAAATTTTGGACCTCTTCCATTTACGATCTACGTTCATAGAGTCTCCAATATCTCTGAAGAACACGGAAGAACATGGAGCTGAAGTCTATACGATTCCAGTTTCAGGTTTCCTATGAGTTTTTGGACAACCTGCGGCGATCAGGGATGTTGTTGTATCAATGAGAGTTTCTGTGCTGATGCAGGACCAACTGTCTGCGTCAGAAGGTTTCTCGTGTCAGGGAGGGGAACAATGTGATATGATATATCCTTCTAATGGCCTCCAAACCGACAAGGAGATTCCGCCCCGCGTCGCTCGAATGACAGCCAGAAGACACTCCGCGATAGGTCGGAATGTCCCTTCATCACCTGACCGGAAACGGTGATGTGCCCCTGGTGTTCTACTAAAAGAAAATAAGTGGTGTTGTTCCCTTGCCCGGAAGGAAATTAGGGGTCTCAGCATTGTTTGAGTGAAGTGGGGACCTCATTATTGTCGAAAAGAGTGGGTCGAGATGAGCTTAAAAACGCATAAGACCATCCCATGTTTGCCTGAGGATGTTCGTTTTTCAGAATGAATTAGTGAAATAAATTACACAAAATGTTTGAGCATGCCCGCCCGCGACCTCGAGAGAAAGGACAACGATGACCTGGGTTGCATCTTCCGTAAAACCGAACGGCTTCGGCCACTGCAAGTGCCGCCAGACTACGGGCGCCGTGTTAATCGGTCTTCTGGACAGGTTAATATTTAAAGAAATGCGAAAAAGAGAGATTCTACCTCTACTCTTCCAGTTCAGCCACCAGATTCAAGCCCCACTTCGCGGTGGTTTCAGGGCCAATCCGTCCAATCCAGGGCCAGGGCCAATCAGGGCCAGGGCCAGGGCCAGGGACAATCATCAGTCTAAAAATCGCACACGTGAAATATTTGCGCCCAAACTGCCTTCTAATGTAATATTTGATGTCATAAAGCGTGCAGAGATACTTCTCTCAGGAGCGTCATCATGTTCGTTTACCCGTTGACCACGCCTCAGTATTGCCTACCAGGCCAACGCTGCGCGGCCTAAGGAAACTGCAACGCCTGACATCGAGGTTTTTGTTTCTAAGATTTTCGAGTGCACATGCTCAAAATTACGTCACATAACTGGTATTACTAATCGATTGAAGTGTTCAAAGGTAATTATTTCAGAAGCGTCATCATTTTCATCCAGCGGTGGCCGACGGCTAAAAGTTAGCCACTAAGCTAACGTTCCGCGGACTATGGAGACTGCAACGTCTAGTGTGGAGGTTCTTGTTGCTAGGATTTGCGAGCGCGCATATGAAAAAAACACGTGAAATAAATTGTATCACTAAACGATTCTGATTGAATTCTGAACATTTCCAGACGAACATATCCAGGCCATATCAATATGCATTGTTGACCGCTCGGTCTGCCATCAAATTTTCATCTTCAAACTTGGATCAAACATATCGATCTGCAATCTACCCTCCCGGTGTCCTTAATGTCTGTAGAACCCTGATAAAGAATTCTGACAAAGCTTCTGAATTTTATCGGTTTGGAAAAAGTCCACTAGACCATTGTTAACTAAGGGCTCCGGTGATTTATCCCATGCGGTCGTTCAACGCCTAATTTCTGCAGTTTATTGACTTCAAAATGCATACATAATTGGTCTGACGTTAAATTCTGGTTTCTGTTCTGGTTACAAGGTAAAAATGGCAACAAAATAAAGAAAACCGTGTCCCTTCTTAACAAGCGAGCTACATGCGGGAATATTTCGGGGCTCGCCATAAGCGGGGTATTTTTCAACCCTATGCCCTCCTTGGCAAGGATCTAGCTACGCCCCTGCCTACACGCAAGAACAGACCAAGTCGTCTGCGTTCAATAGTGGACAATGCATTGTCCGTGGGGCCAATCCATACCTAAGGCAGGCAGCTTCCCGGAGGCTATTTTTCTGCAGTGGTGGGGTGTAAAGGAAAATGATTAGGAAAAAGATACTGTTGCAGGTGTATGTTTCATAGCATATGTTTCACATATAAATTCGTAGTAATGCTGATCCAGAAATATGCAACAAAGCAGCCACACGATCAGTTTGCAATCAGTCATGCCGGAGACAGCCGGGCCAGGGCAGTGGCCACAGATGGCAGACGGGAGCAAAGCTTAGATGGGGAACAAATGACAGACGGGCCTTCATTATGCGGCTTGGTTTTGAAAAGAGAATCTCCAGTTTTATGGCTTTTGTCAGATTGTTTTTTTCAGTTTCAAGCTTCCGAATTTGTTTCCGCCTAAAATGCTGCGACAAGTCTTATCTCTTGAAAAGCAGCCAGCGAGGTGAAGGCGCATGAAAAATCTGCCGCAGTGTGAGCCATCGATTCATTTTCAAAATTATCACCAGCCTATGTCCAGGCCGTATTTTGGCATCTATCTCCAGATGCCTCCTCAATGACCCCAAATGCCTACTCGCTCGTGGAATTTCGCCTCCTCAGAAAAGACAACGCTGAAATGGATGGGAAGCTTGGGGGGCTGGATAGTTTTATTTGCCGAATGACATAGATGAGTTGAATAGACAAGATTGTGCACCAGTGATAAACAGCTTTAGATGCATATCTAGCAAAGCAGCCAGGACATTTGAGCACAACGATAACAACCTCCCTCTGTAACCCCCCTCCCCCCTTCGCCATTGGGCTTGCTTTCCAGAAAATGTTTCTAAAGTACACCCTGAGCTTGCCCTCCCCCTTTTTGAAACGTTCCCACGCCTACGACCTCTGCCTACTGGTTTTGTAACTCCCCAATAACCAACCATGGTTACCACATGGTGCCAATTGAGAGCGACTCGGCAGTACTTCTCAGCATCTGGCGGACGGGTCAGGCCTCATTTGGCGGGCTGTTGGGATTGGCGGCAAGGTCCCAACACTGTCGGCCGACGTCCTTTTTTTATTGTTGTCGGAGAACCCGACAGGCTGCACAGGTCGAGGTTGCGCAAATGGCCATTAGTACAGCCGGAGCGCTTTAACTAATGTTCATCGAGCCGGTTAAGCCAGAGAGCGATGATATCGAGTCCTTTGCTTTTCCATTTAGCACATCACTTACCGGCTGATAACGGTAACAAGCACCTGATGGTTTGATTACGGCACACCACTCCCTTCGGTAAATACGGCAATTCTGGCTGTTTTGTCAACGGGAGGGTGTAATCTCTGTACCATTTCCCGGAGGTCCTATCGCCACTTCGTGGCTGAAACCTCAGATCTTTCCATTGCCAGCACGCATCGAGATCACTCGATTTCAAAATTACGTAGTACCTAAGCGGCACGGGTTTATCCGTTTGGTTGATCGTAAAGAATGGCATAAGTAACATATATCAAGGCAGACCTAAACGCGATGGATTTAGAAACCATTTGATTTACCACGGAAACGTAGAGCCAATGCCACTAAAACCACCAGCCAGCTGGCTGTGGTCCGCACCAAACATCGCCAGCATTGTAGTCAGCAGTATAGCTGGAGCCAATATTTTTCTGAGCTGGCCATGATATGCAATTATTGCCTTTGCTAGTAAGCTCCTGGTGCTAGTTGCTTTGGGTTTGGGCCTATTTGCACTTCAGTGGGCGTTCTTGGCTAGTCGTCACGGGCGCAGCCAGCGGAGAGACTTATTCACGTCAGGGAACCATTGTGCTTCAAATTCGTGAGGATTTGCTACACAATGCCTCTTTTAACTGGATGGTCATGTTGAAAGTGTTCCTTGGCTTATACGCCGGTCACGCTGCAACGGGTGCTGTCAGGGCTGTCTAGCAACGCCCCTGACACACGTCCGGGCCGGCACCGCGGACGTCACGGCTGGGCTGCCAGAGGTGTCCGGCGATGCCACTGACACCCGTCCGGGCCGGCACCGCGGACGTCACGGCTGGGCTGCCAGGAGTGTCCGGCGATGCCACTGACACACGTCCGGACGTCACGGCTGGGCTGCCAGGAGTGTCCGGCGATGCCACTGACACACGTCCGGGCCGGCACCGCGGACGTCACGGCTGGGCTGCCAGGGGTGTCCGGCGATCCCACTGACACACGCCCGTACCTATGCGACTAAGGTCACGCCGCCGTGGGTGTCAGGGGCATCCGGTAACGTCCCTGACACCCGTCAGTACCGGCACCGCTGACGTCACCGCTGAGGTGTCAGGAATGTCCGGCGCCCCTCTGACACCTGTCCGGGTCCCCGCTGGGGTGTCAGGGATGCCCGGCACCCTTCTGACACCCGTCCGGGTCACCGCTGAGGTGTCAGGGATGTCTGGCGCCCCTCTGACACCCGTCCGGGTCACCGCTAGGGTGTCAGGGATGTCTAGCGCCCCTCTGACACCCGTCCGGACCGGCACCGCTGACGTCACCGCTGAGCTGTCAGGAATGTCCGACGCCCCTCTGACACCTGTCCGGGTCCCCGCTGGGATGTCAGGGATGTCTGGCGCCCTTCTGACACCCGTCCGGGTCACCGCTGGGGTGTCAGGGATGTCTGGCGCCCCTCTGACACCTGTCCGGGTCGGCGCGGCTGATAATGCAGGACGCTCGGGGTGACAGCACAGCACCTTCTGCACACTGGAGGATTGCCTGCATACGGCCCCACGGGGCCCCACTGTTTATTCGTCGCCACTGGCGGCGACAGCCCCTGCACAGTCAGGCTGGCCCGGCCCGGCGCCCGGAACGCAGTGGACAGGCGCACAGTCAGCCCTCCCAGCATAGGGAGGAGGCCTTCCCTCTACAGTCAGCAAACGATGTCATCAACCTTCAACGTCTGAGTCAACCGGACATTGCGCGAGAATCATTCGACCGAATAACAAAAAGGCGTCCTCATGTTGGGAGTTCCCGCAGGTCCGGCCGGTCGGTTGGCTGAGCGGCGCGGCCGACCGGCCGGCGCGGCTCCCGGGAACGGGAGTGGGCGGAGTGCCGGCCCTGAGCTCCATATACCGTCCCGGGTGTCACACGAGGCCACACAGCGGCCAGCGGCGCCGACCGCGCAGCTCCGAGTCGTGCGCTGTCCACTGGTGAGACCGGCACCATGTGGCGAGTGGTGACGCTGGGGCTGGTGATGGCGGCGGCGGCGCGGGCACTGGTGCAGGACAGCATGGACGGGCTTGGTGAGTGTCTGCGGGAATTTTCATGCCTTATTTTTAACAAAACATATGTTTGTCTAGTGACTGGTGATGATGGGACTGCTGCCCCATCACGCGTGCGGTTATGATGTAAACAAAGCATATCGCTTCTATGCGTCAAGAGAATCGCGCTGGGAGTAGTGAGCCGTTCCACCTGTGCCCAGAATTCCCGCGCGCCTTGATCTTGAACTGCATGAATGCATAGAGTGATCAAGTTTATTCATGTGTAACGAGTCGAATTCAAAATGAGCTCTAGCAAACGTCCAAACGGAATAGAGAGCGAAGAGATTTGGACTGGTTGAACTGGGACAGCCCAATTTCATACGCTCCCGGCGTCATGAAACATTTCTTATCATCGTCATCCCCACAAATCCAACTTGTTTTTCATCACGAAATGTCGCATACCTTCTTTAGGTGTCAGTATTCCCCAAAGTGTGACTAGGAGTGAAAAATCAATGTCTTTATTGTTTTTTACGTCGTCTAGGTACGGAATGGTGCGCCAAGGTTTCTCACTCTTCTGTATATGACTTTTGATTGATTTGGAAACAATTGTGTCTTGGTTTGACGCCATAGCTAAATGTCCTGAAATTCATGTCGACAAAATCCAAAGAGGGAGATCGGGGAGCAGTGGGATGCGCTGACCCAGTTATGTTCGTGTGCTGCAATTCTTTTTACCTTTAAAAGGAGCAGCCTGTCCTTCTTGCGCTTTTCAATTTATTGTTACATCAGACACGAACGATTTGATCAGTCACACCAGTTTCCTCTAAATCCTTCTGAAAAGCTCAGAATTCCGATTTGAAATAGCCGACCCTGCGAGAGAAATCTCAATTGACTCCCTGCTCACCACTATGAAGTAATACATTTTACTTGCCTTGCCTTTTCCGACGTGCTATGTCGCAATGTTTGTGTAATAAATGCTACGAAGGCTTCAAACACTGTTTAGACAAAAAGATCTGCGAGCATGAAGTTGTTATCCCACGAATTCAACAAAAGAGTACCGCATAATTCAAGTGGCTCAATGGTTCAAACTTCAACCAACCAACTTCTCGGTAACAGACCCTTGCTGCTGGGCCAATCACAAACGTTCTTTTAGTCGCACCTGTAGGGGTGCGTAAGGTGGTCATGATGGCGGTGGTCGCAACTGCAGGAAAGAAGAGTAGTTCTGTCACAAAGCGCTGACGGCGTAATTTGGACCCGAAAATGATGCAATTAATGTCCAGATTATACCTTGACGATGCTGCAGTGGTACTACTCAGTGTTATTATCAGACATAACTAGTAATAAGGTTTCACCAGAGCATGTTTTTGAAATTTGCCCAAAGGTGGGCACTCCTTTCAAGTTAATGCCAACCTTTTCAGAATCTATAAGAACAAGGTGTGTCTACATCGTTGCATGGGCGTTGATAGGTTTTGGCTGTGCGTTCTATGGCATCAGTCGGCATTGGGCAGATGTGTGGGCAGATGAATGCAACAAAAGAATAGGTCAAGAGCTTGTGGCGATACCTTTTCTGTTTGAAAAATGGAAGCTGGCCCAAGGTGTAAATATAACAAACTTAAGGGCAGCCTGGCAGTATCCTAAAGCTACATTTTGAATGCGATGTTGCACCCAGCCAGGAATGATACCTGTCAGGATGTTGATTTCTGAACTGCCTGTTAGCACTTTTGACTGGAGCCTACGACCGGTTTAGTTCATGAAGAGGTAGACATCCTACCATCGATTTAGTTCATTGCAAGGTAAGCACCCTACATTCCTGCTGGAGTTGGCGGCGCATGAAATAATTTCGCTCTGTAGAAAACTTGCTTGTGTGACCTTGTGTGATCTTGTGTGTGTGAACATGTGTGATCTAGTTTTGTACTCCTTGAATTTTCCCCCATAATTTTTTCACTGCATCCGTTAGACCAAATTCAGCTCGGTGACAATGCCCTGTGACTTACCATGGACATTATAGCAGAAGTCATTCATGATACTGCGCCGATAGCAGTTTGGAGTAGGCGGCAGTCGCGAGCTGCCCTATTTCAACTTCCCACTGCTTTTAAGGTCATGGGTATCAGTGCGTCAAATTACCTCACTAAGTGCAATGGTTACGAGCTGTGAAATAATGTGAGCTCGCACCAGTATGCCGTAATACGGTGAAATATATCTCATTCCCCGACTCGAAATTCTCGAAACAGATGTTCTGGAATGACCGCCACGGCCCAGTGTAACCCGCCCCCCCCCCCCCCCCCCAGTTGTCAGTGGCCTGGTCTAGTTCATAGGACGCCACACGCCAGTCGACGCGCACAAGTGCTGGGTCGCACTCTGCTCCGCTTGAAGAAGGCCACGTACAGCTCGGAGTGTACAGCTCGGAGTGTACAGCTCGGGGTGTACTGCTCGAAGTGTACAGCTCGGAGTGTACAGCTCGGAGTGTACAGCTCGGAGTGTACATTCCGAAAAATGAAGCATCTAACGTGGCTGCACGGGGCCAGGATAGCAGCCGTTAGCAAAGGCGGCTGCTTTATAAACTCTTGATCCCTACGTCTTCGGCGACGGCGAGCATGGCTATCTGAGGGGCCGCATCGGAGGCCCCCGCGGCACCTGATGGTGACGTGGACGCTTCTCGGCCCACTGAAGGCGATGCAGGTGACACTGACGCGGAGAGGCTCGTGACTTCCTGCGCGGAAGGCGCGGACGAGGGCGCTGCTGATTGAGCAGCGAGATCTGATGTTCCTGGCGTGGCCCAGCCGAAATGATTCATCAAAAGGTCTCCAGAGGAGGTGGTCGACTACGCAGGAGCGGCTAGGCAGACAGGAAGTAAGCGCAAGCGTACTGCCACGCGTCTCACTATGCGAATTACACACCAGAGATAGAGAGGTTAAGGAAGAAAAAAGCAAACGAGGACAGAATAGAGGAAGAAAAGGAGTTCGAAAAGAGTTCAAAGCCAAAAAAGAGCTCAAAAGATTAAAAGAGAAGACAAAAAGTAAGAGAAAGAGAAAAGCGAGAAAAGGGGCATGAAATAGTTTTGGTACACTGCCATCAGTTTCAAGTTAATAGTGTCATGTGACGTGTGCGGCATGTGCGGTTGAGCGATCAGACGAGCCTCGGGTGCAGTGTGGCAGCTGAGCCGTGTGTGCCGTGTGACAGCTGAGCCGGGCAGCTGAGCCGTGTGTGCAGTGTGACAGCCAGGGGCGCCACTTTCTAAAATCGGCTGCGGGGAGAAGAGCTCTGCCAAAGAAATTAACCTGACCTACCCTTAAGCCTGATTTTGCCTCGGATTTCGGCCACTTGAATTTGCGTCCTCGATGTTAAACAACTGTTGATGTGTTTTAGATACAAAATTGCTCCCTGCGGAGGAATGACTTCCCATTCCAAAAGTTAACAGTGAGCTGCCTGTTTGTGAAAAGCTTAGAATAGGGTGTATTCACAGTAAACATCTTAGTAAATACGAGTAAGGGATTGCTGATGACTACTGCTGTCGCTGATCGTGTTGTATAACCACCACAGCCACGATTAGCCACACATACACTTCCCACCGTTGAGGAGACCATGCATTCACGTTTATCTGAGCCACCAAGCGCTTGTAAAAGCTGCCACATAATGCGGCCCATTGTTCTTTATCCCAATCTAGGAGTCGTTATTTGAAAAAAATTGTCATAACATCCGCAGATCGGTTTAACATATGATGAAGCTAACATGAGAAAAACATTAGGTACCTACAGAATACCATTTGGTACCACATTAAGATGATTCGAGAAATGTTGTGTTTAGGCATAAACTAACTAGCATGCCAATAGAAAATAGATTGTTCTGTATATATTTTACCGAGTATTCCCATTTTGCTCATATGCATTGAGGGGGCTCAGCGGCATTCAAAGGGGGAACAAGTCAGCATGGGGGGGGGGGGGGGCTCAAAGCCCCCGAAAGTATTGAAGTGACGCACCTGGTGGCAGCTGAGCGATGAGTGCAGTGTGGCAGCTGAGCCATGGGTGCAGTGTGGCAGTTGAGCGGTGGGTGCAGCGTGGCAACTGAGCCACGGATGCAGTGTGGCAGCTGAGGCATGGATGTGCTGTGACAACTGAGCCGAGGGTGCAGTGTGACAACTGAGCCGAGGGTGCAGTGTGACAGCTGAGCCGAGGGTGCAGTGTGACAGCTGGGCCGTGGGTGCAGTGTGACAGCTGTGCTGTGGGTGCAGTGTGACAGCTGAGCCATGGGTGCAGTGTGACGGCTGGAACGTGGGTGCAGTGTGACAGCTGTGCTGTGGGTGCAGTGTGACGGCTGAGCCATGGGTGCAGTGTGACGGCTGGAACGTGGGTGCAGTGTGGCAGCTGTGGTGCGATGAGCCATACATCGTGCACGGATGCAGAGTCCGAATAGGAATTCCATTAGCGACATGTGCTATTAAAGTGGCGGCTACTCAAGCTCTCGTGTTGATCTCACCCTTCAAGTTGAGGAACCTAAGGACGCAAACGGCAGTGTGGCTGCTAAATATGATATGTGTGTCCTCGCCAGCTCCAACTCATTCTGAAGTTACGTTTCATATTTCATAACATACGTTCTTAAAATATTGTACTTTCGTGTTCTCGAATCTGGAAACGCAGTAAGTGTGAGTCACTGGTAGCAGTCACTGAGCAACCGGAAAAAACGTCCCGGAACTACCTCACGTCCCGGAACTACCTCCTGAACGCAGAGAACAGTAAACTGCGTCGTCCGACTGAACAAACCAATACCTTGGCCATCATTGGTCTCATTCAACTAGCATTATTTGCAGTTGACGATCTGGCAACACTTCGGTTCATAGGAATGCCTCCGCACGACGTTTGAACTGTTAAACCTAGTTTGGGCCAGGCACCACTAAGTATCGGACGCCCAGGTCTAGCGACTACCGCCATAAACATCGTCCATTGTCGTTCCAGCCCTCCCTCGAGTGCTAAATTTCTACCAACCTGCTGCCCCATCTCTTCCATGGTTGTCAGAGTTTGTCTCATTTTGAGGACTCAATGTGTTTGTGTGAAAAGCGGGAGATGCACCAGCATTATCCGCCCTGACGTTCCTGTGACCCCAGGTCAACCGCTCTGACAGAAAGCTCTTTGAACCAGGTCCCTGACCAGTAACCCTGACTATGTGCCCTGTGACCTCAGGTCAAACGCCCTGTAGGTGTCCCCAGTGACCCTAGGTCAAACGCCACGACGGTCTCCCTGTGACCCTAGGTCATCCACCCTGACGGTGTGTCCAGTGACACCAGGTCAGCCACCCTAATGGTGTGTCCCTGTGACCTCAGATCAGCCGCCCTGACTGTGTGTCCCTGTGACCCCAGGTCAGCCGCCGGACCGGTACTGTCTGGCGTGCCTCTGCACGGCCGCCACCGGCTGTGACACAAGCACCGGCTGCGAGGAAGACGGTGGCACCACCATCTGCGGCCCTTTCTACATCTCACAGCCCTACTGGCTGGACGCCAACACCACCGTCGTGCAGCAGTTCCGGGATTACGGTGAGCGGTGACGTAGGCTCACGTCTAATCCCCGTCCCCCAGCCGGCCAGCCAGCGTATCCACCGGAACTTACGGCTTGTGCAGTCGTAAAGCGGCTGAGCGCTGTCAAGAACCAAGAGCGTGGGAGATACCGGGAGCCGTCACTCACTGCCGCCCACCTGGTCCACGGACATGACCACTCTGTCGATTTCCGAGGGTCACCAGATCATTGGTGCCTTTAAATACCGATGTCAAGAGCGAGGGATGAGTTGTTCATTGCATTTGCGAGGAACATTTTTTGTATAGATAACACAGTGGTAATAGCCTTGTTCCTCGGAGAAAAACCGGGAGAATGGAGATACAGATGGGTTGATATTTCGGCAACATGCTTTTACCGAAATATAGCAGAAGTGAATTCACTTCTGCTTCGACGTACTTCTGCTTCTGCAGAACTAAATTCACTTCTGCTGTTTTGATAAAGGCACGTTGCCGAAATATCAACTCATCTATATCTCCATTCTCCTGATTTTTCTCCGAGGAATAAGACTATTACTACTGTCTTATTAAGTGAAGGATGAGGACAAACTATTTCAGTAGTAATAGCCTTATTCCTCGGAGAAAAACCGGGAGAATAGAGATACAGATGGGTTGATATTTCGGCAACATGCTTTTACCGAAAAATAGCAGAAGTGGATTCTCTTCTGCTTCGACGTACTTCTGCTTCTGCAGAACTAAATTCATTTCTGCTGTTTTGATAAAGGCATGTTGCCGAAATATCAACTCATATCTCCATTCTCCTGGTTTTTCTACGAGGAATAAGACTATTACTACTGTCTTATTAAGTGAAGGATGAGGGCAAACTATTTCACATAGTCACATAATTATCCGACGCCAACTCTAAATTTTTACCTTTTGCTGCACGCAGCTTATACCGCTCCCATTTACTTTGTTTTTCTTCAACTGCGTTACCCTGCACACAACGAGCCGAACATTTTGTCGCCGCTTAATTCCAGCCGTCGGACAGCGGAGGCAAGTTGGTGTCCCTGACAAAACCAGGATGCGTTTGCGGCCGTTTCGCGTCCTCGACGGGAAATTCCGACACGCATCGGAACATATCGGGAACAGACCCTGACGAACGTTAGTGATGAAGTCAAAGGCTGTAATCCACCTCTGGGCACATATATTCGTTTGAATTATTATAGTACGTGCTGTTGTAATATCATTTGAATCTAATTACATTTTAAATATAGTAAAAGTGTAACGCCTACGTAACTTTAGAGAAACTTAGCGGACGTGCACAATGAGGTAAACACACAGAGACTGAAAATACCAAATGGACCTGAGAATCTGCAGGAAAAGGGACTGTGCAATACAGCCTTCTTCTTCCGCGTACTTTGTACGCTTTTGCCATTTAAGGACGGCATGATAAGCAACGAATCACGCCGTAAAAACGCCGTGTGATGTTCTTACTAAACAAGTCTCGGAAAGTAGGCTTAAGCTCAAAAAAGCACTTCAAGCGAAATGGTCTGTACATCACGAAGCTATCTTGCTGACATACTCAGCTTAGGAGAGACGACTTGTCCACGAGACCAATGTCCTCTCTTTTGCGCGTGTTCACCTTCCATCATTTCTTACCAGAGTCACTTATTACCTTTCGACCTCCGGCTCGTGACAGTCAGCTGCGACTTAAATTAAGACACTTTGGAACCATACAAAACCTGAGCTGGATCAAATCTGCTTTTAATCTTCTTCATGCAGCTCGTAAGCCAAGCTACTTTTTATGAAGCCTCCAACACGTCTACCACGCAGCATGTCTCCTGGCTTCCTCACCCGACTGTGGTAGCCCGTCACGGGCCGGAGACCGTGCCCCCGACTATCGCCTTTCACAGGCGTCACGCCCTCCCCGTCTGCCGCCGCCAGCCTTGACACGGTCGGTGCCAAGCACGGCCGTCGCCAATGCAGTGTTAAATAAAGTGGCCGGATCTGCAGCCGACGGGCCCAGCCCGGCGCGGCACGGGGCCGCGTGCCGGGCCGCCGGACTCGCGTGTCACTGACCTTGGGTGGAGCGAGCCAGCCCGAAACGCAAGCGAGCGTGACTGCGGTCGGTGGTGAGGACGGGCTCCTGGAAAACCGCCGCGCCGCTGCTGCCGATTGACGCCCTCGCGTGCTCGAACGGGAGGGAAGTGGAACAACGGGGAGGGCATAGGTTGTTTGGTCCGTAAGTTCATCAGAAACACGCGAGATTTTGCACGTCGTGGATAATCCCGGTGTGGATTTCCAGGCGATGCAAGCGAAGATCCGCTCACGGATGGGGAAAACAGCTGTGCCTTTCCGGGGAGCATTCATGGCATGATGCCTGCCAAAAAGCGGCAGCAAGGTCCGCAGAGTGAAAGGAGACTGACTCACTGCTTGCACCGACTGATGGCATAAGCTCTGGTGGAAGGCGCTGATGAAAACATGGGATGTGGCACGGGATTTGAGACATGGAACAGCCGCTCTTATGACTTAGGGCATGCGATTTTTTAGACATATGGGCACTAATTTTCTTGATATCATGGCCGGGCCGTTGTCGAAAACACACCCCATGTTTTCATCAGTACCTTTCGTCAGGGCTTATGCCATCCGTCGGTGCAAGCAGTGAGTCAGTCTCTTTTCACTCTGCGGAATTCGCTGCCGCTTTTTTGTTTGCATGGCCAGGCCTATGCCTCTACATTTGTTTCCACGATTTGGCCTAATGACGTGACCGAGGGTACACATTCATGGTCTCTGAAGCCTCCCTTTCGATGACAGTGAAGCTGTATGGGGTTTTGTGTGCAGTGAAGTACACGATTTCTAATTTCAGTACTTTGTATTATTGCGAGGCTTTTTCCATTTCGTTTGGCAGTGAATTAGTGAACTGCTATGATGGATTTTAGCATTTTAAGGTGGGTTTTGGTGACAATTTCATCAGTCGCGGCGACGGAATGACGTGAAGCTGGAAGCAAGGACGGTTAAGAGCTGAAAAGTTATTACAAATTGTATTTATTATTGAAAATATCGAAGGTAGCCGAAGGTGCCTTGGTGACCCAATGACAATTTCAAATTGTCATTCATTACTTCGTAGCGAGAAATGTTACGTATCGTGCAGCGTGTTGCAATTATAACGTGAGCTTTATCTCGGAAAGAAGCAATAGCGGTGGAAGGTGGAATATTTGTGCAGAGGGAGGGGGGGGGGGGGGGGTCGTAATTTGTACCTCGTTCCTTGTCATGCACGGTCATATAGTTTATGCTCAATGCTGCCGAGGTGGAGGAGGCTCTTTGGTGCACGGACAGGACCACTGAAGCCCTGGCTATGGGTTGTCGGTATCGGTTTGTATTTTGGAAAAAACGGTTCACACTAAAACTGCTTTTTCCATTACTTCTCTTGGTCAGATACCATGACATAGATCAATCATACAAAATGTAGCACCAGTGGCGAAGGCAGACGGGGGGGGGGGGGGGGGGCACTTGGGGTGTACGAGCCCCTCCGCTTAGGCTCTGAGGGGCCTGGAGGGCCCACCGGGACCAACGATCAACGACCCAATTGGAGGACGTGAGGGCACGAAGGGCTGGACGGAGTCCTCTTTAGGTGCCCGACCTGCGGGAACGGACCCTCAGATGACTGTAAGGGGGTCCCTTGTGCTGATCGATGACCTCCTGAGCCGATGACGCGCTATATGTCGGGCAGGCATCACCAGTACCGCACAGTCCGCTCTGTGTCGGTATGGGCCTGGGGGCCCACTTGCCAAGCAGCGACAAGGTCGGGGCCAGCGATGTACACTGTCCGGGGCGCTGTATCTGCCAGGATCCCACAGTGCCTCAATGCCCTGTGTTGGCAGGGGTCCCGAGTTGACCAAGGGCACTGTTCAATGAGGTTTGAAGAGGCGCCCTGGTGCCCGCCGAAACCGGAGACCGACGATCAAGCGCATGTTTTGAGGGCATAAGAGCCCGAAGGACCGGCTGTGGGGCACATAAAGCATCCCGGCGTGTATGACTGTAACCTGAAATATCAGACAGAGGGCGTCTCTCACCGATTGCGTGCCCCTGGAACAGTGCGGGCCTTTATTTCAGCCAGAGACCGCCAACACTGAAATGTCGCCCCCATGTTGTTCTGAGCTCTGGCGAGGGGGGGGGGAGGTGTCCATTTTCAAGCACGAGCAAGGCCGGACCCGCCATTTGCACTGGCCGACGCCCCTGTAACAGTGAGGGTATATGTCGGGCATCCACAATGACTAACAGGGGTCCTGTGCAGACAAGGGGCCCCGAATCGGCCAGTGAAACACTTGCTGAACAAGTGCAGTGACTGGACACCGAATGCCAGTGGGTCTCCTGCGTTGGTTGGGGCCACATCAACACATTATCTATTCAGCTTTCACCTAACCCCATCACGTGTCAGCTCAGTACGTCTGGATATTCTAAAAGATTCTGGATATTCTGAAAGAAAGATATCCAAAAGATTAGGTTCGCATGACAGCGCTCGGCAAGTTTCGTTTTAACAACCTACCAACTGGGGTACTCCATGATGGCTTAATTTAAAATTGCGCGTGTAGGTGTTTGGTTACTTATCCTCAGTCTGTGCCAGTGCAGCTCCAAAACGTCATCACGTGGCCGGGTTTGAGTCCACATTGGTAGGGAATGGGCTTGACATGGGCTTGATGAGCTTGACGATGCGGCTGAGGGACAGCCACCTCGACTGGCCAAGGGTCGATGTAGGGACTGGAAGCAGTCGTCAAAACTTCGCACTATGCTCCATCAGGCGGAATACCTATGTATTCGCCCAGGATGTTATGAAGATCACTTCCGTTCAAACAGTATGCAGGCAAGTTGGATGCGTGGCTCCCTGCTCGATGCATCATGCGTGCGGAACTCCGGGTACTGAAGCCGGTGTTGCAGACAATGGACCCGTTGGAGTGTATCTCCTGCTTCTGCGTTAGCGAGATGACATTGCGCGATCGGCAGTCACATGACGAAAGTCTTTCGTCAAACGAGGATTATCGCTGCTCATTGATCCGCTGCACTGAATATTAACAGCCAAAAGATTATAAACGTGGACTGTGGTGCGCTCTTAGACTGCATTTGCTGTTGGGCTCGAGCAAGCCTTATCCGGTATTTGCTGGGTAAAGATGAAGCAAACCAGCGGTACCCTTGGCATCATGAAACTAGCAGCCGTCAGGGCCGAGCTCTGGCCCCAGTGCGTACGGAATGGGCTGTTTCCGCTGGACGGAGCCGCAAATGTGCCTGGCCGAGTCTGCGTCGGGGCCCCGGCTAATGAGCTATATATATATATATATATATATATATATATATATATATATATATACACCAGGAGGGTGAGATTCGCGCACACTGCCTTCTGTAAACAGTCTTGGGCTCCACCGATGCCTGACCATTTTTCCCCATTGGATGGCCTGCTCGGCCGGAATTCTATCTAAATGCGAATAGGGACCTAGATGTTCGTTGGATTCGCTTGGGGTAAATGCACCGGAGGGCGGCAGTCGTGATGCACGGAAGAAAATTGACAGCTCGATGGTGCAGTATCTAGACAATCTGGTGCTTCCGAAGTCATGAAAAATTCCTATGCCGAACGCTGCTTTGGCGAAAAACGCGGAGGGTCGTTATTGAATGACTTGCCTCCTTGGATCCTTCATTACCGCCTCGGCTTTCGAATTATTTTAAAAATTAGACAAAGCTGTAAAACTTACTAATTCATTTCTATTTACATTGATCTTCCTAGCAGCTTCACCCCAAGATATGTTGTGCTAAAAACGATCGCTTAAGTCCCTTACCCTGGCACGCGTGCGGCCGTCTCGGCGTCGAAGGTGTGCCCCCGGTGACGTCATGTAGGGATCTTTCCGGAGAAGTGCGTGGTCGGTACCCAACCACCTGATATCTATCGCCTTGATTATAGCCTTGTATGCACAAACGTTGATAGCTTAGAAGTATTTGAATCAATTACATTTCCAGTACAATCAGTTCAGGCAGCAATGGGTACTAAATAAATGGTGTAACGAGTTCACTTTGTCTTCAATAACCATGACATAAATTATAAAATATTCGTGCATAAAAAACTACGCTTGTTCCTTTTGTGTACATTTACAAGGCGGGTGATTCACGTTATCTAACTGTACGTCACAAAGCAATGCAAGAAAACGTGTATAAGTGTCGTTTGGACGAATTTTACCTCGTAATTGCATGCACGACGTCAATCAAAAAACGACGGTGCTTTTGTTAACTACGCCATTTTGCACGATACGATATCAGATTGTGGTGCTCAGCTCGTTCGGTTGAAGTGCATGTACACATACGACAGTCAGGCGAGCGTGACTTTAACGATCACGTCTCAGATTTCACTTAAAATTGATACCATTGGTTATCCGACACATAGAATCCAAGTGGCACAATATCAGGTCCCAGTGACGTAAGGGTCGCGAGATATACCTCAATGCGTTTTTAGGACTCGAGATAACTTTGGTACGTTCTTAGCGCCGAAGAACCAGTGAAGATACACAACGTTTAATCAGTGTATATATTTTTGAGGCTGCAATATCTTTACAACAAAACTAACAAAGAAAATAGCTTAAGTCAAGTTAGAAAAACGGCCTCGTGACCTATGTCAAAGGTTACCGTGTCAATGTTCCATGGTGTCCGTCTTTGACTATGTCCTATGCAGGTAACGCCTTTCGTGTGTTTTCTTACAACAAAAATTTCGAGTGTGAGTGTGAGTGTGAGCACCTAAATAGCTTTCACGTGGCTTAAAATATACCCTCTTCACTCATGGCACTCCTGCATCAACGAAATGAAACTGTTGCGCGATTTTAATGGGGAATCCCTCGGATTTCGATACAAATTTATTCCGGGCATTATATGGTACGTTAAATTGCCATGTCACGGTGTCAGCTCTGTTCGACCCACGGGCATGGATATGCTAACTGTCACCGCACGCTGTCCAGCGTCGGACCCTCGCGGGACACGCATGTACCGACCTCAGGGGGCCTCAGACGGCACAGCTACAGGCTGCAGTTCTGTCTTCCAATGCTAACCAACATGCTGATGTCCTTGCAGATTTCTCACGTTGCGCAAGGGATGTCGCGTGCGCCAAGCAAACAGTGACGTCATATATGACGAAATTCAGCCGGGTGAGTGGATGCCTGCTTACACCTCTGTGGTAAGCCCCTGGAACTTAGCTGTTCGGCGAACAAGACCTGCCAGCGGTCTGATGCTTGTCATGGACTTTGGATGGGCGTTCAGGATAGTGAAAGAGCCATTGTGCAAGACCATGAGCTTTCTCGCTATAACACCACCGTGTCTTTTTTATGCAACCTCATGACCCACACCACCAAGTGAAACCCACCAAAAACAATTGAAAATTCTAGTACTTCACAGACACAGACCTTTCAACATCTCACAGATTTTAACATTGGTGCGTTCTTAGCAAAACTAAAATTTACTATGGATGACGCACCCAACCCGACCTGCATCGGCAACCCATGACCATCTCTCAGACGGACTTCACCCATGTGACGATGCGGGGCGCGTGACCTTGTCTTCCGGTCATGTGACAACCCTCTCTCGCGCAGGACTGCGACGGGGATGGCAGGGTAACCTGCCTGGATCACGGCCTGATGCACTACCTCGGCTACAGTCAGTGCGCGGTGCCAGCGCAGCGCCAGCAGGCTGAGGCCAGCGCCTTCTACCACACCTTCAGCCAATGCCTCGCCGATATGGATGCGCTGCTCGTGTCGGGAATGATGCAGCAGCACTTGCCTGGCTGTGACAGTAGCAGCCATCTGTGATGGAGGAGGGAAAGAGCCAGGGACGTTGTCAGGTCATCCTCCGAGAGGACAGAGGCCTTCTGATTGACCTCGATCACAGAGGACAGGAGCTCTCTGATTGACCTCGATCGCATGCCATTGTAATCATTCTCTCGGAGCGAGTAAATTCCTACCGTATTTTTCACCAGCAGCTCGCAATCCGAGGCATATTTTAGCGCAGTCGACAGCTGTTAACCAATAAGCATGTTGGCTGTATGTATGCCCTCTGTATCTTTACACACTAACTGCACGATCCTGAGTGGGCCTGGTAAATTGGGGAGCACCAAAGTGCATTTGGTCTTGGAGAATCAGTATTGAAAACAGAAGAGGCTATGAGCGAGGCATGGTATGGCTGCGAAGTAAAATGAAGCGAGTTTGCATTGCTGGTGATCGATTTTACTGCACAGGACTAAGTCTCCTAGACGTTCCGGTTTGCAAAGTTTCATTGTGCTTCGTGGACCACGCCAAGTGTCAAAGGTGTGTCTTGTATTATCATCTTCTGTGCGATGGCATGAATGGTGCTCCTATGTGTGCAGTAGTCACCACGGTAGGGGCCATTTTAAACGCGGCGTCAAACGTGTCCTCTGTGTGATAATGTGGTGTTACTATGGATGCGAAAGAAGTAGCATTATTTTAATACAACACTAGTTTAGAATGTAAGGCCCGTCTTACATGCGGTGCAGGGTCCACAGCCAGCCCATTGCTGAGGTACGGAAACGAAGAGCTCCAATGCGGATGTCCGATGGCCATCTTGGTCAACCGACATCTTAACAGCCGGTTCAATGTGCCGCAATCCAACGACAACAGAACGATATGCGGCAAAGCAGCATATTTCTACACTCCGAATGGGCCCTTCTATTAGCGTCATCTTTTTCCTGGCATGAGGGGCGTGTGCTACCGCATTTAGAAAATGCCACGAGCTGTTAGGCATGTCAATGGCCAGCACAACAAATCAGCAGCCCTCAAAACGTTTTCGAATATGTCATGCCCACGAATCTAGGCTTCGGCCGAATCACTGAAGATTACTCGAATAAGTGGTGTCAGTCGATCCAAACGATCTAACTTTATCCATTTCTTTGCTACTCTGAGTGGTGATTCAGAAGTCAGCAATGAAGGATATCCGTGTTTCGAGACCAAGCTTAATAGATTCACTGTGTCAATGGATAGCCCTACTGAGCTCAGTGCACTATCACATAGATGTGTGAGGCTATGCGTCTGAAATGTGAGGGGGACGGATACCCTCTGGTACTGACCACACGGACACTAGCGCACCATGACGTAAAATCTTGAACCTACAGCTTTTGAAATCGTTATGCGTAAAGATACGATTCAAACTTGGCTAATTCTTATAGTATTTTCATTGGTTCATTATTACCAGGTATCGATGCAATGAAGTTACTTATGATGCTGAACGCTATATGGTACGATTAAACACCGCGTATGTTCGTGCTCTTTTTTAATAACATGCTTACCTAGTTGTCATCGCCTTGTGCTGACCGTCCACGCCATTGCAGCGGTACCTTCTTCCAGTAGGTGGCAGCACGGATGCTGCACCAGATGGCACTCGACATCGGTGCAGTGGCGGCCATACCCTAGTTAAGCACGTCGCAGATAGAAAGAGCAGTAATGTCAGAGCAACGGTAACAGAGACCAGTTACCGCGTCAGAGGTATCAAGAAGGCCAAGACTAAGATGTCAAGATCGGTGCATTGCATTGACGCGCAATTAAACCCATAACTAAGGCATCGAGACGCTGAGATACAAGGCAGAGGCATCGAAAAAAACTTCTCACGAACCCTCAGAACCCCCTCCCCCCCAGAAAAGCGGGAATGAATCTGACACTAACCAAAAGCCATTCGGGACCACTGGCCCTTTTTATGTGATCCGAACTGAAGTAAACTGTCTGATATGATAGGTTTGCACAAAAACGTTCCGTGAGAAAATACATTCAGGAACGTTTTTCATAAATTCCTACATCACACGTGGCTAAGAGGGTATAGATCACATCAAATAAAATATTTTTCGTGCAGTAAGCCCCAAAACACCCTAAGCCTCGGGTCTTTTCATCTCAGCCAGAAGGGGGGGGGGGGGGTCTCAGACGCCCCAACGATCTGAGACAATAAACAAGCGTGGAAACGTTTTTGGAAACGGCATGAAGCGGCATGAAAAGGGAAAACGGCAAAAAACTGAGCCACGAAAAGCAGCGTTCGAGGACCCTTTTCTGAGCACTTATGAATGGGATTTTTGACAGGTCAGTGGGGTCAAACTAACACAGGCCTCCTCTGTTACCTCGAGAGCTAAGCGTACTACGACAAGTGTGGAAAGCGGCGTTGAACAGTCCTCGTAAGCCTCCAGTTTGATGGGGAATAGTTGACATGGAGAGATATGATCTACCACGTCCCACACAAGGGCAAATAAGTAAATGCTTTTGCTGAACTGGCCTGTCTGGCTATATGGTGAACCGAACAAGCCAGGTCAATGGGGAAACAGCTAGGAGAAGGTTCTCCAAAGTTTGGAAGAATGCACCATAAGGGTTTAAAGTGTTTAACCTTAACGTGGCACAATTTGGTCGCAAAGGGCGAAATCTGACCTTCTTCAATCTTGGGTGATTTAACCCTGCAAAACATCGAGGACGATAATAATGCACCACAGAGTGATAAATTAAGTAATCATAATATATTTTGATGGAATGCTGACAGAGAGAAGACATCCGGATAATTTCTTTGGTATCTCTTAAGTGAAATGTCACCGGAATGACACGCTGAAGAAATTACGAATCATAAAATGTCCATGTCGGAACTTTGCAAGTTTTGCCAGCAGACGTACAAATGACGTAACCACAGCCGCTAGCCAAAATTTCATCAGTCCCGTTCAAACCATTTGGAATTTATTCCGGAAATACCCCAGAAAAGCCTCTAAGAACCCCCTCAGCCCTAGAGCGAGGGCTTACATAATCTACAGATAACAAGAACTAGTCCCTTTTTGAGTGGTGCTTTAGTTTGTGTATGTTTTCAACGTTTGGTCGGAATTTAGCCAAATTTTCTTGTACGGCTGGGCCAATACTAGGCCCCGAAAGAAGGCGACATGACAAATGCGCAATACTGTCAATGTCTGGAAGCAATAGAGTGTCATTTATCATGGCGACCTGTATTGATGAAAACTCCAGCGGATGTTTTAGTTAGCCAGCCGTCTACAACGTACCATAAGGATCCCACAAGCACATGATGCACAAGAACGTCTTCCTCCTGTACCATCCCGCATGGATTAATCGCGGACACCACTTCTTAAAGCTGAGGCTCTGAACCCAAGTACATCACCAGGGACCCCGAATGAGACCCGGGCTTATAAGTCGTGAACCAAATGTTTCAGCATATGTCTCTGGTTCACAGAACACTAGCACACAGTCCGGGCGTAGCGCGGCGCTAGGATAAAGCAATAAACGTGTTAAGAATGGCGCATTTTATCTGCAAATCCAGAAAACTACGCACCAAAACATGTTCTCATTCTATTACGGTCAGATATGTTGTTGCATATAGCTGAATGCAGTAGAGACACATTCAGTAAGGCTACATGAACGTTACTTGGTGAATTCGCGATTATTTGTATATTGTATATCGTGATATTCCAGCAGGAAAAATGTAACAAACACTCAAAATCATTGTCATACGGCAAAGGATTTCTACGCCATAAGACAGCTTTGCTTATTGACCTCAACACAGTTCTATGGAAAGTTATATGCACAATTTCGTACCGTCTCGACTTTCTCTACCACGATGAAAAAGTGACGCATCCTAGTCATCGGAGAAGCCATCGCCAGCGACTTGCTAATTTGTTGAATGACTCTGACATCCAAACTACCAGCATGTCTGATGTAAGCACACTACATGCTGCCAAAGTGACTCGGTCCATCCAACAACTGGTGGTTTACTAGGAAAGCGAGTGACTAAAACTAGGCCTATATACGTAAAGCAAACAGTGGCCAGTTCTTCATAGGAACTGAGGATTGACGCTAACCTTAAACATACTTTTGTAGAGATTTAATCCGACCCTTTTGAGTCCATGGACTTCTAGGATCAGAATCCACGCTGAACAGTGCCTGTTTCGTGCGCCCTGACCCCTACCATCCGATCGCACAATTTCAAATTAACGGCAACAGTTTAAGGGGCCGCAATAGTTGGCACGGTCCGTCCTACCTCCTAACGTCACCTGGCCTTTAGCGTCAATGGCGGCCGCGGCCGCTGCCACTAGCCACAGGCCATGCTTGTAAAGAAAAATGGGATAGCGAGCGCCTAAAGCGACTCGAACCCACCCCACCATGGCTGGGTGGATAGGGAGGCAGGCGCTTTATCAACTGATCTATCGGTACGGACGTTTGTTCCAATAACGCGCAAGAGAGTGGTTCGTAAAAACCAAAGTATCGATCAACAACACAAACAAATCAATAATGGCGTCAAGTTAACACTTCTTTAAGTTAACGCGTTCACGGAAAGTTCGCGGATCACGTGACTTATATTTTATTAGTTCACGTAAGATCGGGCCTACCGAAAATGCAATTTTAGTTTAAGCATGCGGGTCCGCGCGCATACCTACCAATCCATCCAGTATACCTCTTGTTCAAATTGTTCGCTTCATGTTGCAGTGGTCTTGCGAAATTACGATTTTTACCAGGGCCCACTGGGGGGCGAAACCACTAGGTGGTATTTCCACGATGATATCGTTTCAGCTTGTGACATCATTGCCGGGGATAAGGCACAAAATCAGAATTTGCTGACCGAGATCCAGTAAAAACAAGCATTGGAGCCACTTTAGGTAGGCCCAATCGCTTTAGCCGGACGTGTCGTGAGGCAAATTGCATAAAGCATGGAAATGCTTCCACCTAGGTTGGCCAGCATTGACAATAAATCGCCAAACTTGTGATTTCCTGACACATTTTGGTGAGAGAATATTCCGTTTGACAGCTGTTGATAATATTGCATGCAACTGACGGCGTTCAAAGATCTCCAGAATGTAAATGGGGCTGTCGATCAGATCTAAAAATTATGCCGCAGATCAAGAAAAAGTTCCGAAGCAGACCGAACATTCTATTACTTCACGCTGCGGTTTCACTTTGTTACTTTACAGAATGATTTGCGTAGTACATTGGTGGCTTTGGGCTCAGAGTACATGTCAAACGGCGCTCGGTGCCTGTTCCCTGAGCCTACTGCCCAGTGGTGCAATGTAAGATCAGCGGATAACTGTGTCTACGACCCCTGCGCCAGACGGGACCGTGGAGGGATCTGTTCCTCCGACCTCCGCGCCAGGCGGGACCGTGGAGGGATCTTTTCCTCCCACCTCTGCGCCAGACGGGACCGTCGAGGGATCTGTTTGTGTTGGGGCGTGCCACGCCATGACCGCCCCGTGTCAGTATGGCCCACTCTGGCCAGGTGACAGCTGAACACCATATAGAGGGTATGGCCAATCAGTTCGCTTCCTCAGCGGACGGAGTTCGATTCCGCGGACCAAAGTCTTCGATCTTATGCCCTAGATCACGTGTTTAAAAACCCCCTGCTGAAGCGGCTGCTGTTACAAAGGTGTATGTTGTGTGAATACCGGCATCAAGGCAACTGATCCTGAAGCTCACAACTGCTGCATTTCATGTTTGCCTACAGCAAATCATTTTCCACGAAACCGGCGAGAAACGGGAGGTTTGGATACCGGTTAGCTCAACGATAAAACCGGCAATATTTAGTGCAAACTTGTCGATATGAGTCATGCCCAGCCTGGCAGCTCTACCTTCCCTTTGCAAATCTCCCTCTGAAACTACAGCTTAAATGCATAAATGCGGGTCGTCATTCCGTGTTCCACTCAATAAACGCAGCCGTTTCTGATCACAAACCCGTCGCGGCCCCACGTCTGCCTTTCGAAGCTCTTCGACCACCAGGCCCGTATGCAAATCACCTGTTAAAAACTATCCTCTTATGCCCCTGGGACAGTTAGCAGGTGACCCGTGGGGACACTTACAGCCCCGCGGGTGTCAGGGACGCCGCTGTCTCGTCGTCAAAGCGAGCTGCTGGAATATGCATGAGCACCGAGTTGAAGGCCCTCCTTAATCCAATCAGTTGACTTTTGAATCGGCTTCGCCTTTGGCCTCGCCGGCAGACTCCACACGGCCGCCGCTTACCCCGCCCTCCGTCGAGGGCGGGCATCAAGTGAGCCTGCGGAGAGCACCGGGACGCCGGCCAGGAAGCTCTTCCTGAGGCCGGTGGAAAGCACCAGGAGACTCTTCTTGTCTTGCTTCAGCCGCCTGGATGTCAATATCTTCTTGGAGACCGCGCTCGGCATTTTTTCCAGAAACGCGTTGTCGCACACCGAGCCTAAAAGCATGGAAGGAGAGCGAATGCGTTGCATGTTGCGGCGACAACGCCACCATCATGACACTTAAGGCATCGGTTAAGGCATTAGCACTTAAGGCATTCGCCCCCCCCCCCCCCCAACTCGGCTTTTCGTTCATGGCTACAGATATCAGGTTAACTAGAGTCCAAAAGAAAGAAGTGAGAGTGACTGAAGTTTCGTCTATCAGCATCATTGTGTTCTCTATCATTGCTTTAACGATCATAAGGACGTTTAATGACTTGCTCTGGATTTCACAAATGTTCTTATGAATCTTTTTTGATGTCATATCGATATCAACGGAGACACAACATAGTACTCAATCAACAACAAGTAGCGCGCTCTAGCGGCCGCGAGGTAGCGCAGTCGGCGCCGCGATACTGGCGCCGCTGAGAGACAGCGTTTATATCCTTTCTGAACGAAATGCTGCGAGAGGCTGCTGCCACGTTGAACTATCTTTTATTTATTTACTTGTGTGTATGTGTGTGTGTGTGTGCGCGCGTACGTGCGTGCGTGCTTGCATGCGTGTGTGCGGGCGTACGTGCGCGCGGACTGAGATAAGAATACAAGTTCATCAATTAAAAAAGGTAAAAGAGGGTTTGGCGAAACCGACACCATGCAAATCGACAACATAGTCATGCTAACGGCTAACATACAAGCGGTGGTGTGGTATTCTGAAAATGGTTGCGAGTCTCAAAAGTTATCTGGTAGCAGACTGCGAGGGCCCATCCCACCCAGCAATAAAGTAACATTAAAATGTGCTTTGGGAGTGGAGTGAGCACGTTCAGCATAACTAACTGGTGTGGCACAATTATCGTTAATGAGTAAGGTTAGCATAATTAAGAGTAACTGATCCCAATAACTGTTTCCGTAGTATCTGATGTCACTATAAACCTATACCGACGCCCAAAAGCCCAAACACGGCTTTACATACCCTACGCTTTTGAATGAACCACATTAGCTTGACACGAAGGCTAAGCGACCCCCGCACCACCTTCGCCGTCCCTGGCTGTATCGTGCCCCTGATTTCCGCGGATGTTGGGCGTGCCTTCACCGTGCCGGGGGCGCTAGAAGGGTGTGTAAAAGACCTTGGCGCCCGACATCTGTTACCAGTGAGGCCAATGACGGCCTCTGCCTACTCGGGTCACCCCGATCATGAAGAGTCCTTCGGGCGCATTGCAATTTCTCACGTACTCAGGGACAATTACTCTTTGAAAGTTACTGACCGTTCCGAGATTACTGACAGTCTGTGGGTCTTTGAAAACCTTGAACATCCACGACCGTCCTGGTTCGGATGCTGGGGAACTGCTTTTAGTCCTGATTCCAAATCGCTTATGGACGCAAGTGTACTACAGCCGTCTTTGCGATATGCCCTCTCATCTACGGCCGTCTGGCTGTTATTAGAATGCTTAGCATCCTTTTGATCCAGTCGTTATTCATAGTTTCATTGCATTTGGAAGGCACTGATCTGAGGATATGCATGTAATGGTGCTACGAAACCTTGCGTTAGACGTTTTTAAATTCATTTGTTCTTTATTTTTGTCTTCCATGAAAACATTCTGCCTAGTAAAAACACGCGATCAAGCGAGAAGCTGCAAGCACCCAACATAATTTCTTATGAGACGCCAAAACAACCTCAGGTCAATGTAACGTTAACGAGGAGCCTTTGGGAGATCTGAAATTCTTGACGAACTGCAGAGGGTGAAAGAAAATCAGAGGGCCAAAAATTGATAGGTTTAAACGCTGGAGATCAGAGGCTTAAAACAGTCCTATTCACATAGCCTGAGGCTCAAGATGCCAATCGGGACAGAGGTCCCATGAAAGCCAGATAACCCATAACATCGCTACTACCATCAAGGCAGCAAAACGTCCAAGAGTTTTGTCTTGTTTTGTCTTGTTTTGTCTTGTCTTGTGAGTTTTGTGTCAAGTCCAAAAACGTCCATCCAACGTTCCCTCTTGTCATTGGTAGCCCTGAGTGGGTAGGGAACCCGAAAAAGCAACCAATTGTATGTTGTCAACATTGTTTTCATTCTTTTGTGTCATCTTCATAAAACATCAATCCTGCAGATTAATGTTTTTGGGTCATCTCAGCCCTTTAAACTCTAGGACAAAAAAGTGAAAAAGGTTGTGCGATGCTCCCTACTCAGCCTCTCAAAATATTCTGAAAGTTTGTTCCCTATAAAAAACCTCGCTGAGCCTCGAATACCATGGCTGACAGGAGTCTCAGGTAAGATTCTGGTTCTTGCTGCTTACATTAATATCATTCCAGGCTAGAGGTAGTCTTGCTGGACCTTGCTTGATTCTGAGCTATATCTTCGTTCTTGCTGGATCTTTACATGTTTCAGGCTGAATCTGGCTATGTCTGGATCTCTTGACACAATGCTAGGCTGAATCTTGGTTGTTGCTGCATCTTTCGACATAATGCCAGACTGGATCTTTGTTTTTGCCGGACTATTGGCTTGATATCGGACTGAATCTTGGTTCTTTCTGGATCTTTCAGCTTATTGTCAGACTAAATCTCGATTCATGCCTGATCTAGCTACTTAATGTATGGCTGGGACCTGGTTCTTGCTGGATCTTCCGACTTAATATGAGACTGGACCTAGGCTCCTTTGGATCCCCCGGCCTACTACCAGACTGGTTCCTGGGTTTTTCCTGTTTCCGAAAGCAGGTTCAGAACCGGACACATGTTTGCTCTAGGGTTTTGGCGAAATTTTCGCTGAGCTCTATACGGAAATATTTGGGGCCCGTGACACGTCATTTAGATTAAAATGAGCTCAAAATTGTGTATCCACATGGGCGAGCCATGTTCTTTTAAAAAGGACGATAGTAAATGCAGGGCATTATTAGAATGACCAATTGTTATGGTGTATGACTTCGAAACGGATATAAAAGTCAAAATATATGTGCGTAGCAAAGAAGGGTCTGAGCGGCCTAGAGCCTTAATCAGTTCATGCAGGCGAAGCCTAACTGCCATAAGTGAGCACTTACCAGCCCTCCATACTCGGTCGGGTCTGCGGCGACACTGCTTGGTAACTGGACCCTGCGCGTGGGGCCCAGCCTCGCGGAGGACCTAAGGGGCGCGTCTGACCGCCGACGGGTGCTGACCCCGGGTCACACCGCTGACAGACTGAGGAGTGCGTCTGACCGCCGACGGGTGATGACCCCAGGTCACACCACCAACGGGTGCTGACCCCGGGTCACACCTCCGAGAGACTGAGGAGT